CCTGAGACTCGAACTCGCAACCTTTGGGTTACGAGTCCGACTCTCTAACCATTAGGCCACGACTTCCCCATAAAAAATTGACATTCACGCTCAGTTTCTGAAGGCAGAGTGTTGTAACTCCCTGGCCTGTGCTAACAAATTTACTCAAGCCCTAATGGAACATTTCAAAACATTTCAATACCAGCAAACTAATATTTGGTGTTTTGATTCAAATCAATAAACATAGTTTATATGTGTGCACCCATTGCTTTCACTTAGCTGAAGTAACTTAAAGTGTTAGATATAATGTGACAACTGACAAACAGCAATATGTTTTTTTTTCTTTACTGCATGTAAATGGAACTTCCGGAGTACAGGCTTTGCATGGTGTGACGTGCAAGTATATGAAATATACAATACTACTTAAGACATGCCACCACAATGCATCTCTGCTATTCTTAGGAAATAGCTGAAGAACTAGGTTTGCTGTCTGATAGTTCAGAGGAGGAGGCGTTGACCACCAGGGTGGTGCGGTGCAGTTATAATTCATGTACCTGTTTTGGGTGTGTGCACTGATGTCATTGGACCCCCATTTCCATATTTCGGTATGATATGGAACATTGAAAGTGTTTTCATTTGCTGTTACAATGATGAAAGACTAATATATATATATACATTTTTTTTTTTATATATATTTTTTTTATTTCCCATAAAAAGTATTTATCTTTCAGGACTGAAGTTAACCCTTTCCATTAGCATTATTATTTTCACTCTCATAGTTTGAAACAAAAAAGAAAATATTAGTATATGAATTGTAAGTGAATATATAGTAAGTAATAAAAAATATAAACAAAAACTCTGACTGTATATCAATTTCTGTGAATGTGGGTGGAGTCAGTTACCATTATATTCTTACAGAAACCCTAATGGGTCTCATTAATGAAACAAAACACATTTCTTGTCAATAACTTGTTCAATTCAAACAGGTTTTATAAACACATATAAAAACATACATTTTTATTCTATTTTTTAGGGTGACGAGATGCCCGTAATCCCTCCTCAGGCTGTGACAGAAGAGAAATACACTGACGAGTATGGAAACATGGTGGTCAAAAAGGTAAATGCTTTAACTTTCATCTTTTCTGTGTCTTTTCACAGATTCAGTCAGCACTATGTAATGTCCATATTTGCCCAATATTTGTTACAGTTGATGAAGTAAAAACCCTGCAGCATAATCATTTTATTTGGTTAATTGTAGGTTGCCTTTAAAATAATGCATGCTATTTGAAAGTAATGTGAATTAACTTAACATTTACTATGAAAATGTCGATTATATTTTCTCTAAATGGTTTAAACTTACTTTAAATAGTGTTTATTGCTGTGATGAATTATGAACATTGAAGTGATTTAGTTTATATTTTAGGTTCTTTACCTAATGTTTAATGGATTATTGTAGTGTCATGCATTTTTTTTTCTGTGATTGACACTACGCACTGGTATCTTCATTAGCCATTGCTTAGTCTCAGCCTCAGGCCTGTCCGCTACCACCGCTACTTTATTACAAGAGTACCCTACTAATCCAGGGACAATAATTGAAAATAATAATCATTTAAAAATGAATTTAAAGATAATATAATAATGTTGTGTAGTCTTTAATACTATAGACACAGACAGTTTTACTCACTGAAAGATTTATTTGTCATAATATTCGTCAATTATTACTTAATAATTGTATTCGAGTCTTACACACATGCTATACAGATAATGTAGAAAGAGTCGTGCATTCATTTGAGTGATGACAGCTAATATGGGAGTGGCTTGATGGAGCGCAGATAACATGATTTTGACCCTTAAGAAACTTTAATTAATGCTGTCACGTAACAAATCTGTTCAAATATAAAATTAAATGAATTGCTAATTACTACATTGAAATAAAAATGTAAAGCCTGTACAAATATTAGAAATCGTGAATATAAATAATTGGGAATCATGTAAAAAATACAAATAAAATAAAAACAGTGCACATTTAATTGATCTATTATAACATTTATGTAGTTTTGTCAAGTTTTTTGTCAGGTGTCTTTTTTAATTATATGATTACGTTGCTGTCTTGCCGCCAGCCAGCATTGCTGATCGTGGTTCCGAGTATCGATACATAGCCCCTTTTAAACCAATCCATGAACACGCAATTATCTCAGATAACTCAATCCAGCCATACTAATAATCAACAACAGGTGCGTTTGAAGAACTGAATTAGCCAGATCCTGATTAGCGCGGTGATGTCATCTTGGATGTAACATTTCATCTCGGATTTCATAAGCGACGTACGAAGTACGGGCCCCAGGACTACAATCGAGGCATTTGATTGAGTTTAGAAACAGCACTTATTGATATAGTGAATACTTCCTTTGGAGTGGACTTTGTGCTTAGTAACTTTGCAGATCTTTTTCATGTACAAACAGCAACATTACGCACTAAAGGAAGTTGAAAATTAAAAAAAAACAAAAACATAATAGGACCCCTTTAAGATGACAGACTGTTTTCACAATTTATTCATAATTTAAAAAAGTTATGATGCTAAACCAGAAAATGTGGGGTTTTAAAATATAAGAGACTATGCAGGTCAAAATGTCATTGTAGAGGCAGGTTTGTGTGAAAAACCACCCTGCTTTGTAAGCTATAGCTACAGTGTATTATTTTACTAACATCTCATACTCACTTGACCCATTTCTAAGCACCACCTCCCATTACTTTTTGTATGCTGATAAGGTTTTAGAACATCAGATTTTCAATGCAATTCAGTTTTTAAGAATGCATTCAACATAGTATTGTTCCTGCATGTACCAGCCTACACCAGCACAAATTTGTTTGTTAGTTCAGGCTGGTTTTTACTGGTTTGCTGCTGGTCTAGCTGGTAGATCAGTATCTATAATTAAACTTTATAATTCACTTTTTAGTGACTGTTGCCTCTATTCTGACCTGATTTAATGTATAAATTAATTAAAGGTAAATTAACAATTATTTAACGTAAAACTATAATTGCCTCAGTTATAAAACTGTCCAAACACATATGACTTCCACATTAAGATATCTTATCCAATAATATCGCAGACAGTCACAGCTGCTAAAGTAGGATTGGTCAATAAGGCTAAGTGATATGTCATTTGAAGTTATATATTTGTAATATCTGGAAAGTGTAAGTAAACTGTTATTCAAAGGAATGGTAAACAAGATCAACATGTAATTAACTAATCATTCAATTTTAAAGATAATCTTTTCACACCAGTTGTGATTCTGCAATGTTGATTTGTAGGACCCGGATGCATAAGACACGCACTCAGAAAAGCACAGTAGTGAAGGATGGCCAAGCCAAACAAACCCACCTGGAACGACTGGAGGACACCCCAGATTCCCTGCGACCTGATGACCTACAGCAGCAGCTGCATCAGCTGCTTCAATGCTGCTGTACCCCAGAGGTGACTGAAGAGCCTGGTGTAGGGCAAGATTCAGATGCAGGAGAACAGGACAAACAATAAGGCACCACCTCCTGCTATGGGTTGTGGTGGGCATTTAATAGAAATTTCTGCAAATGTATGTCTTTTACGCACTTTTTTTGTGCGTACGTCTGTAATTTTGGTTGCTGTGGTATTGTAGAAGCAGAACTAAACATAATAATGGAAAATGAATATGGGTCAGTTTGGATGCTGAGCTCATTGTCTAGCCACTAAAGATGTGAACACATTTGTAAATAATGGACTTTGAAAATGTTTAAAAACACTGTCATATACTCTTTTGTCTCCTGTAAGTGCTGTACAACTGCATCAATGGACTGCTGTAATTAAACACATGTCAGATTACTTGCTCAAAATCTCTCAACAGACCTGATAAAATATCACCATAATATCTTTGGGGCATGTGAGTTTGTAACCAGTTAATGAAGAGCAAGCAATCAGCTATCTGATATAACTGGCTATGTATTTATACTGGCTATGACTGAGATTTAAAAGCAACAAATACGTCATGCTGTAGTTTTTCTTAATCCCAGAATGCTTCTGAATGGTTTTTACACAGATTACATGAGAATTTATCAGTTTTAAGTGGATGAAATTGCTTGTTTTTTTTTCCATGTTGTCCACTGTTAAGGTATTTCATAGTGAAAGAATGCTGTCATTATCTATACATCCAGTTATTTTGTTCGTCATTGACCTATTTGTTTTCACGAGTAACATTATGTGTCTAACCTATGTATAGAATATGTATGTGTGTGTTCTCAGATCACCTCTGTGACAATGCAACAGTTTATTCGAAACATTTTTCTTTCTTTTTTCTTTTTGAATGAATGTTAAATAAATTTTCTGTCATTTTGTGCAGTCCTCCCCCCCCGCTTTTTTTAAAGTATTACTGAATTCAATGATAATTTAAATCCCCCTCCAAAACTGTGCTTGTGGGCTTGACTTGTATCCTCCCTGTTTGTGATGATCCTCTAGGTGCTTACAGTAGAACTCAGAATAGGGAGGGAAAGTGTTTAAAAATTTGCCTGTTTTTTTTTCTTTCCTCTGCTGTTGCTGCAATGATGTAAAATAATAATAATAATAAATGAAACATTAATATCACTGTTGCCTTATTTTCTTATTTTCTATTAGGAAAATATGCAGAATTTAAGAATTTTGTGTTTAGGTGAAATAAGACATTTCAGAGGAGACAGGCAAATATTGCCTTAATTGAGCCTTGATGCAATTTCTTTTAACAATTTACATTTACATTTACATTTAGTAATTTTGCCAACGCTTTTATCCAAAGCGACTAAAAATTGGGGAATACATAAAGCGATTCTTCTTAAAGAGGCAAACAGACACAGGAAGTGCTTGAAATACCAAGTTTTAGGCATTGTTCAAATAAGTACAAGCTAGAAAAGGGAAGGAATAAATAAAGAGAAAGAAAGGTTTATTTTTTTTATTAAGATGAAGTCATGTAGCGTTTAAAGATATGAGTTTTCAGCTGTCGCTTGAAAATTGTCAGGGATTCAGCATTCTGGATAGGGGTGGGAAGATCATTCCACCAGCCAGGAACGGTGAACGAGAATGTTCTGGAAAGTGATTTTGAGCCTCTCTGTGATGGTACCACGAAGGCGTCGCTCACTAGCAGATCTCAGACTTCTGGAAGGGATGTAGATTCGTAGTAGTAGAAGCCATGTGCCTGTATGATGGGACCCAGTGATGTAGTGTATATGGAGAAGAGGAGGGGTCCCAAGAACTGATCCCTGAGGAACCCCAGTGATTCCCTGTGATGCCCAGTGATGAGAGGGCAGACAGGAGGATCTGGTGATTGACAGTGTCAAAAGCAGCAGATAGATCCAGCAGAATAAGAACTGATGATTTGGAATAAGCTTTTACCATTCGCAAGGCTTCCGTAACTGACAGTAACGCAGTCTCAGTTGAATTTAACATTTATTATGTAATGTTTTGAGAACAAACAATAGGCCTAGCCTACTAATTAAAAGTCTGGACAATACTTAACTTATGGAGACCGTGTTTAAACATGAGTTAGGTTCATAGATTCGAAAAGTTTCCTTGTTGACAAGTTTGGGTGAGTAAGGACAAGACCCTTTTAGTGCCGTCACAGCGCTGGCTGGAGGCAAAACAAAGGGAAAACTGGAGGCGGCCAATTCAAACCAGCACAGATCCGGCTATATAAGTAGCTTAAAATATCATCTTGTTGTGATGTTGCCAGAACTGAATTTGAAATTGTATCGCATACCAGCCATTGCCAGACAAAAAAAAAAAAATGACGACAGCTGTGGTTAACACAATAAAACGAGCGGACTGGACAGAAACAATCATCAAAAATGCTCGCGTTTGTAGGGCACACTTCTTATCAGAAAAGGTTAAATAAAGTATTGTCTTTTGTTGTTATGGATTATGTTTTGTGTTATGCGTCTAAAGATTTCTTATGCATCTCACAACATGCAAGAGTAGCCTATGTCGTGTATGAAAGTCTGTGTGCGTGTGTAAAACATCAAACTGACGATATGCTTAATCATTTGTAATTGTGTAGGCCTATGCACTGTGATTGATTGTGGCTGAAAT